TGGCTGGGATCATGAGCAAACCTTGCAAGAAGTGTCAGACCATAGAATCTTTTTTTGGTAACAAGGAAGATCAAAACATACAACCAGAAGAAGACAACAAAGTCAAAGCTCCTACATCCAAAGCCTCCAAGAAAATTATGAATCAGTCCCTGGCCTTGGAAGAGCTCAGAATGGATTTTGAGAAGCAAATAAGAGAAGTAGAGGAAAAACTGGGAAGAGAAATGAGAGTGATGCAGGAAAACCATGAAAAACAAGTCAACAGCTTGCTAAAGGAGAACCAAAAAAATACTGAAGAAAATAACACCTTACAAAATAGCCTAACCCAAATGGCAAAAGAGGCCCAAAAACCCAATGAGGAGAAGAATGCCCTAAAAAGAAAAATTGGCCAAATGGAAAAGGAAGTCCAAAAGATTACTGAAGAAAATACTTCCTTAAAAATTAGAATAGAGCAACTGTAAGCTAGTGACTATGAGAAATCAAGACACTGTAAAACAAATCCAAAAGAATGAAAAATAGAAGCCAATATGAAATATCTCATTGGAAAAACAGCTGACCTGGAAAATAGATCCAGGAAAGAGAATTTTAAAATTATTGGACTGTCTGAAAGCCATGACCAAAAAAAGAGCCTAGACATCATCTTTCAAGAAATTATCAAGGAAAACTGCCCTGATATAGTAGAACCAGAGGGCAAAATAGAAATTGAAAGAATCCACCGATCTCCTCCTGAAAGAGATCCCCAAAGGAAAACTCCTAGTAATATTGTAGCCAAATTCCAGAGTTCCCAGGTCAAGGAGAAAATATTACAAGCTGCCAAAAAGAAACAATTCAAGCACTGTGGAAACACAATCAGGATAACACATTAAAGGACCACAGGGCATGGAATATAATATTCCGGAGGGCAAAGGAGATAGGATTACAACCAAGAATCACCTACCCAGCAAACTGAGTATAATCCTTCAGGGGAAAAAATGGTCATTCAGTGAAATAGAGGACATTCAAGCATCCTTGATGAAAAGACTAGAGCTGAATGGAAAATTTGCCTTTCAAATACAAGACTCAAGTGGAACATGAAGAGGTAAACAGGAAAAGAAATCATAAGAGACTTATTAAGGTTGAACTATTTACATTCCTGCATGGAAGGATGATGTTTATAACTCATGATTCCTTTGTCAGTATTAGGGTAGTTGGAGGGGGGGAAATTATATGTATGTATGTATGTAGATAGATAGATAGATAGATAGATAGATAGATAGATAGAGGGCACAGGGTGAGTTGAAGATTAAGGGGTCATATCTGGAGAATAAAATTAAGGGATGAGAGAGGATTATACTAGGAGAAGAAGAAAGGAAGAGGTAGAACAGGGTAAATTATCTCACACACACAAAAAAGAAAAGGCTCTTACAGTGGAGGGGGAAGGTGAGAGGGAATGAGTGAATCTTATTCTCATAGGATTTAGCTTAAGGAGTGAATAGCATACACACTCAATAGGGTATGGAAATCTGTCTTACCCTACAGGAAAATAGGGGGAGAAGGGGACAAGAGAGCAGGGAAATGATAGAGAGGAGGCAGATTGGGAAATGGGGTAATCAGAAGCAAACACTTCTGAGGAGGGACAGAGTCAAAAGGAAGAATAGAATAAATGAGGAGGGTGGGATAGGATTAAGGGAAATGTAGTTTTTCACAACATGACTACTATGGAAGTGTTTTGCATAATTGCACATGTATAACCTATATTGAGTTACTTGCCTTTTCAGTGAGGGTGGGTGGAGAGGGAGGAAGGGAGAAAATTTGGAACTCAAAGTTTTAAAAACACATGTTTAAAAAAAATGTTTTCACATGCAACTGGGAAATAAGAAATACAGGAAATTGGGTACATACATCTATCCTGCCCTAAAGGAAAATAGAAGTGGAAGGGGATAAGAGAAGAGGGGGAGAGATAAAAGGGAGAGCAGACTAGGGGAAGGGATATTCAGAATGCATGCCATCTTGGGGTGGGGAGAGGAGCAAGTTGGGGTGAAAATTTGGAACTCAATCTTGTAGAAGTGAATGTTGAAAACTAAAAATAAATTCAAAAAAAACCAAAAAAGCAAATTTCTTAATTTTAAATAAAAATATTTAATTTTTTATCTTTGTTTTGGCAACCCTCAGCACAATATCTTACATGCAATTGTTGTTATTTGGATGTGTCCAACTTTATGTGACCCTATGGACAAAGTCCATGAGGTTTTCTTGGCAAATTTTACTGAGGTGGTTTGCCATTTCCTTCTTCAGTGTGTCCCTTTTTTTTTTTTTTTGGCAATTGGGGTTAAGTGACTTGCTGGGGGGTCATACAGCTAGTAAGTGTCAAGTATTTGGTCTGAGGCCGGATTTGAACTCAGGTCCTCCTGACTTCAGGGATGGTGCTCTATCCACTGTGCCACCTAGCTGCCCCTGTGTGTCCCATTTTACAAATGAGGAACTGAGGCAAATAGAGATTAAGTGACTTGCCCAGGGTCACATAGCTAGTAAGTATCTGAGGTTGATTTGAACTCAGATCTTCCTGACTCCAGGCCTAGTACTCTATCCACTGCATCACCTAGCTGCCTTTTACACATAATACTTGACATAAATATTTAATGAATATTTGTTGAATTCATGTGAATCAAAAGGTGGCTTTTTTGTTTATCTTTATCATGGTCAAGTTTCTTGGGAGGTGATGTCCCTTTGTAACCTTTGCATGCATTATAAAACCAACTCCTCTATTAGTCCAATGAGCAACTATAAATCATTGTTCTATTTTAACTGCAACTTACTTTTTGCTTCTGGATTAATTTAAAGCAAGAATGGCATTTTTGGAATAATACAATTCCTCCAGCAATAACTCAACTCTTGGGTAATTAGAGAGGAATCTCACATTTAGACAACCAATAGTTAATTTAGCTATTATTTAATCATTAATTTAATGTTTAAAGGCAATCTAAAAATTCTGATTCTTATCACACACACCCCCAGCCCCCTTTTCTACTACTCTGCCACCTTCACTGCAGGAGAGACTCACAATGACCTAAGGACTATTTACTGGAGGTGAGCCTGTTCATAATTAACCAGGCCATTCCTTCTTACAATAAAAACATTCTGTACCTGAAGACTCTCAAGGATGGGGAATCAGAACTTTATTTCTGATGTAATAATTTTTGAGAGTCCAAGGTCATCTTCCTACCATTATGAGCATCAGAGTACAGTAGAGAAGAAATTATTAGACACCAAATAGATGAATTTGGTTATAGCAAAATAATGATCTTGTGCACAAAGAAAGCAATGCATCCAGAATAAAAGGGAAAGAAACAGATTGGGGGGAAAAAACCTTTGCTATGAGCATCTGTAATAAAAGTTTTAACATCAAATATCTATAAGGAATTGACACAATTTTCTATGTTGTAATTTCTCAGTAGATAGGTGGTCAAAGCATGCAAATTGATAGTTTTGAAAAGCAACACAAATTATCAATAAATACTTGCAAAATTATTTGAATTCTCTGATAATTAGAGAAATATAAATTAAAACAACTCTTAGGTGCTACCTTCCACCTACTAATTTGGAAAAGATAGGTAAAAACTATAAAATTCAGTGCTAGTTGGGTTGTGGAGAAACATTAATAAGTGACCCTGGATTATATTGTGATGGGATTGTGAATTGATGCAACCTTTTTGAAAAACATTAGGACATTATATAGAGAGAACCACAAACTTGTTCATACCCGGTGACCCAGTGATTCCATTATTAAAACTACACCCCAAATATATTATTGAAAAGTCTTTTTTAACATTTTTTTTTCTTTTTAGGTAAGTGGAGTTAAGTGACTTGCCCAGGGTCACACAGCTAGTAAGTGTCAAGTGTTTGGTCTGAGGCCAGATTTGAACTCAGGTCCTCCTGACTTCAGGGCTGGTGCCTTATCCACTGCACCACCTCGCTGCCCCGAAAAGTATTTTTTTTTAATCTACTTGTACAAAAATGTTCTGACAAGCATTATTCTTTTTTTTTTTTTGGTGAGGCAGTTGGGGTTAAGTGACTTGCCCAGGGTCACACAGCTAGTTCAGTGGCAAGTGTCTGGTCTGTGCCACCTAGCTGCCCCAAGCATTATTCTTAATAACACAAAAAACTAAACAAAACCTATGTATCCATTGATTGGAGACTAGTTAAACAAACTCTGGTATCTGCATGTGTTATTATGTTATAGAAGATGGACAAATATGAAGAATACAAAGAAATACAGGGAAATCAAAATATTAATAATCATACTGATGACAATTACATAGACAAAATCTAAAAAATGTATAGAAGACAAAATTCAGAAAATGACATGGAAACAAGCCAATCTGGTTATCATCTTGTTAATGTGAGGGTACTGTGCCTTGATTTTTGGCATAATAAGAATACATCAATAAAACATTTTAAAATAAGTTAATATGCTTATTTAAGAATAAATTATATATAACAAAAGATCACAGTTTCATTGAGACCTTTTAAAATTCTTGTTTGTATTTGTGCATATATTTATATTTGTAATTGGTTATTCAGTTTATGGGCATCTGGGTAGCAGTGTGGATAGAACGCAGGGCCTGAAGTCTGAAAGATTCATCTTTCTGAGTTCAAGTCTGGCCTCAGACATTTACTAGCTGTGTGATCCCGGGCAAGTCACTTAACCCAGTTTGCTTCAGTTTCCTCATCTGTAAAATAAGCTGGACAAGGAAATGACAAACCACTCCAGTATCCCAAATGGGTTATCTCTGCTGTCGTAATGGTATAACCATAACTCCAAATGGTTCAAAGAGTCAGACATGACAAACAACTGAACAGCAAATTCAGCTTATAATAAATAATATTTTAAAAATTGAAGGTCCCTTTAAGCTCTAAAATAAGGGGAGAGGAGTCAAATGTGTTTCTTTATCAGGTATTCAGAAAGGACACCACCAACATCAACTTGATCTATAGATAGAAATGAGAAAAGAAGTCACACACACCGGGAATCTTATTTAGTGTCATCCAGAAATATTCACCTGGACTATAAGCATACTTAGACCACTGGAGCAAACCTGTGGCTAGGTCACTCCCAAGAACAAAATCAACAAGCTTGCTTGTGAGGACAACATAGGCAGAACCAAAGTAGACTGCTGGCTTTTGGGAAAGAAAAGACTTTAAAATGTGGGTCCTCTTCATGTAAGAGCCTTGTTCACTTTTATGTTCTTTGTGTATATACTTTAACCTCTCAATATGATCCCACGGCCTTGGGACACTTGGGGTAATATTTTTTCCTTTGAATTGTTTCAGATAGTTAACTATTTCTTTGTTGGTTTTCAGTGGGAAATCCTACCCACAGGTGTTGATTGTGCTGATTATATACTTCCATTTATGCTTCAGGGGTACAAGGTCTTTCATGCAGTTCAGGTCAGCCTGGAGCCTGGATATTCCACCATAGACAACTGACTCCATCTTGGAGGCAAGGAAAGCATTGGGGAAGCAGCTCACCAATTTCCTCACAGCATCTTTAAATTTAGTTGGGGCTTTTTCATCCACATGAAAACAGCAAACATTTTGGGGCATGTACACTGCCCTGAAGAGCCTTTCAAAGGTATTGACATCTTTGTGTATGGGCTCAGATTCCTAAAATCTAGCCACTGCTGGGATTCTTATAATCTAGCCACTGCTCAGATTCTTATAATCTAGCCACTGGTCAAGATTCTTATAATCTAGCTAATAGCTCAGTTCAGACTCCTTAAGAGTCTGCCTAATATGGCAGATGTTCTAATAAACCTTGTCTTTGGCTGAAAAAAAAATCTTTGTGTATGACCACCATGTATGCCAAAGGATATTCATTTTCTTCTTTGAATGAAGGGGCTGTAATATAATGATTCTGGATCACACATTCCTTGCAAGGGACTTTACCAAATGACAATGTTAATACTTCTTTATGAAATGAGACCTTCCCTTCTGTGGCTTCATTAAAAATACCTTTCAGAGTATGGGAATCTTTGGCTAATGGAGGCCTCCTGTAACTTTTTGGAAAACATAATTGGTTACTATAACACAACGACCAAATAAGCACAGTCTTCATAGGAATGGCAAGAAGATAACACCTCCAAAACGTCATTCTTTTGAATCCTTAGGGAAAAAAAACTCCTTTTCAGTGACTGAGAAATCAAAGGTTCCTAAAAGGATAGGATTTACTTCCTGGCCTCCAAATCCCACCTCTGGGAACTGTTGGATTTGGCTTTTTCAACTGTAATCAGTTTTCCAGATTCTAAAACTGACGTGTTTTAAGCCATGTTGGCACACTTTTGGTTAAACTCCTACTTCAGTATTTTCTAAGGATGCTTCTCTCTCCTGGTAGAGATGCTATATATTCAGCTCCATATGTGTAAGTCCATGGAAAGTGGAAAGTCTGTGGAAAAAATAGGTGGTTGAAATTAGCCAATTTCATTATGAAAGGGTATGAAGATCTTTGTCACAAGCCTTGATTTCTCCTGATCCAGTACTTACACTCTCACCTTTCAGCCTTATTCTGTTTTCCCTTTAATTCCATATCCCCTCTCCCTATTTTATACTCCACAGTTTTCAAGTCCCTTAGGTCAGTACCTTGTAGGATATTTTGCTAGACCTTCTTATAATAATGATTCAGAAAATCTACTTAATGATAATTTTAGCTGATTGGCTATATTATGATAGAAAGCCTTATTAGCCAGTGAATAAATCTGCCAAGTGGATTTGTTTACCTTGTATCCATGGCAACCAAGGTTGACTAGGCATTTCCTTCCAGCAAATAATAGGATGTTTTCAACTTTAAATATCCAACTAGAGTATTGCCCTTGCTCTGAACTGTTCTTTTCTGGTTACGTGAATTAGTAATTTAATTGTGTTTTCACATCCTTCTGGGCAAGTAAAGGAAAACATTTTTGAAATTAGACATCAAGGGGACATTTTTCTATAAGATCCTGATTTCTCCTAACCCTTCACAAATTTAAAGAAGCTGGTCACTCAATAAAATAGGAGATGAAATGAAGCCAAAGCCTAAGAATACATAATCAGCACAGCTCAGTCATTGAACCAAAGTACTGATTTATGTGGAGTTTTTTAAAATAAAATTTTATTTTTCCCAATTGCATGTAAAAACAATTTTAACTTTTTTTTTTAATTTTGAGTTCCCCATTCTCTCTTCTCTCCCCTCCTTCTTTCCTGAGACTGGAAGCAATTTGACATAAGTTATACATTTCAGTCATGCAAAATGTATTTCCATATTAGTCATGTTGTGAAAGAAAACACAGACCAAAAAAAAAAAACCCACAAAAAAAAATAAAATGAAAAATAGCATGCTTTGATCTGCATTCAGATTCCATCACTTCTCTGGAAGTGGATAGCATGTTTAATCATGAGTCCTTTGGAATTGTGTTGAATCATTGTACTGCTGATAATATGTAAGTCATTAACAGTTGATCATTATACAATATTGCTGTTACTGTGTACGATGTTCTCCTGGTTCTGCTTGCTTCACTTTTTATCAGTTCATGTAAACCTTTCCAGGTTTTTCTGAAAGCATGCTGCTAGTCATTTCTTATAGGACAATAGTATTCCATTACAAGCATATACCACAATTTGTTCAGCCATTTTCCAATTGATGGGCATCCTCTCAATTTCCAGTTCTTTGCCACCACAAAGAGAGTTGCTGTAAATATTTTTGTACAAATAGGTCCTTTTCCTTTTTTTAAAATCTTTTTGAGATACAGAACCAGTAGTGGTATTTCAGGGTCAAAGGGTATGCACAGTTTTATAGGGGGCATAGTTGGGCATAGTTCCAGATTGCTCTCCAGAATGGTTGGATCAGTTCACAACTTTACCAACAATACATTAGTATCCCATTTTCCCACATCCCTTATGACATTTATTTTCCTTTTTTGTCATATTAGTCAATCTGATAGGTGTGAGGTGGTACCTCAGAGTTTTTTTTTAATTGGCATTTTTCTAATCAATAGTGATTCCAAGCATTATTTCGTATGACTATAGATAGCTTTGGTTTCTTCCTCAGAAAACTGCCTATTCATATCCTTTGAACATTTATCAATTGGGAAATAACTTGTATTCTTATAAATTTGAGTCAATTCTCTGCATATTTGAGAGATGAGGCCTTTATCAGAGACATTTGATGTTAAAAAAAAATCTTTCTCCCCAGCTTTCTACTTTACTTCTAATCTTGGCCACATTGGTTTTGTTTGTGCAAAAGCTTTTTAATTTAATATAACCAAAATTATCCATTCTGCATTTTATAATGGTCTCTATCTCTTGTTTGATCATAAATTCTTCCCTTTTCCATAGATCTGACAAGTCGAATATGTACCCATTTTGACCTTATTTTGGTATATGGTATGAGATGTTACTTTAAATGGAATTTCTTTTTCTATCTCTTGCTGCTGGGTTTTATTGGTAGTATATTGAAATGCTTATGATTTATGTGGGTTTATTTTATATCCTGCAACTTTGCTAAAAAACTTAATTATTTCAATGGGTTTTTTTAGTTGATTCTCTGGGATTATCTAGTATGCTATCATATCATCTACAAAGAGTGAAAGTGTTTCCTTGTTGCCTACTCTAATTCCTAACTAGCATTTCTAGTACAATATTGAATAATTTTGGTGAAAATGGATATCCTTGCTTCACTCCTGATCTTACTGGGAAGGCTTCTAGCTTATCCCCATTATAGATAATGTTTGTTGATGGTTTTAGATAGATCCTACTTATCATTTTAAGAAAAGTTCTATTTATTCCTATGTTCTCTACCATTCTTAGTAGGAATCAGTCTTGTATTTTGTCAAATGCTTTTTCTATATCTATTGATATAATCATATGATTTTTGTTGTTTTTGTTATTGATATGATCACTTATGCTAATAGTTCTTCTAATATTGAACCAGCCATGAATTCCTAATATAAATCCCACCTGGTCAGAGTATATGATCCTTGTGATATGTTGCTGTAATCTCCTTGCTAGTATTTTAATTTACAATTTTTGCATCTATATTCATTAGGGAAATTAGTCTGTAGTTTTCTTTTTCTGTTTTCATGCTTCAGGAATCAGCACCATATTTGGGTTGTAAAAGGAATTTTTAATGACTCCTTTTTTGTGTATTTTCCAAATAGTTTATATAGCATTGGAATAATTTTATAGGAAGATCTACATCCTGTCCCTGGACCCAGATGGCTCCACAGAAGAAAGTGAGGCTGGTGACCTTGCACAGCCCTCCCTTACTTAAATCCAATTCACCTGCAAGTCATGGCATCACCTTCCTGATGTCATGGTCCTCTTTGAGAATGAAGGACAAACCACAACCTAGTTGTAGTAATCCTAGCTGCCCCACTGTGGACCTAACTGGCCAGTTTCAATTGAGCAATGCAGCTCCTTCCTTCCTTCTCTCCTTCTTCTTTCTCCGTCCACATAGGGTATCATACCTACCTGCAGATGCTCTGCCCAAAGGAATGCAAATTTTGATGGCTGAAACCTGATGATATAACTTGGGGTTTACAGGCTAGATTTCTTTCTTAAACACCATGCCTTAAACTCAATTCACTGTGGCTCTCATCCATTGGCCAACAATATGTCCCAGCCCAAGCTCCACTTAGTGGTCATAGTGTGGGCCCTGTTGGCCCAGAATGAATGTAAGCAGTAATTGTTTTGTTTTGGCCAGAAACCCATGGGTCTTTCTCTCCCAGGTTGATTTTTTTTAAAATTAGGTAAATGGACCATTCCTTGGCTCATTTCTAGCCTAGCCTTAATCACTGAATCAGCATTGACTCAGTCAAAGTGAGAACTTGAAAAGACCTTAGTTTAAGAAGGCCAAGGTCTCCCATTGCATCTGGGGCCATCTCCAGTCATCCTGATCTGTATCTTGCCATGGGATCCACATGGCTCTGGAGGAGAAAGTGAGGCTGGTGACTTTGCACAGCTCTGCCTCACCTAAATCCAATTCACTTGCAAGTCATGGCATTACCTTCCTTATGTCTTGTTCCTCTTCAGAATGAAAGACAAACAACAACAACCTCATCAGGACCCTCTAATTAGAGGGTGGATTGAAGAGCTCTTCCCAAAACCAATTTCGGGAGGGTACTCAGGCCATCGCTTCGTTTCCCACTCAGTCATACTCCTTTGCACTTCTCCATCACCATCGCCCTTCTCTACCTTGCGCACTTTTTTCTCCTCTGTTAGCTTTCTTTTTGCATTGTCTTCCCCCATAGAAAGTTCCTCAAAGGCAATGACTGTTTTTCTTTTTCATATTTGTATGCCTAGTGCTGTTCCTCATATATGCCTTTTCTTCTTTACCTCTGTGTCTTTGCACAGGATTTACCTATGCCCAGAATTTGCTTATACCCAGAATGCTCTCCTCATTCACTTTCATTTCTTGGAATCCCTAGTTTCTTCAAAGCTCAGCTCAAGTGCCACCTTCTATATGAAGCCTTTCCTGACTACCCTCCCCCCAGCTGTTATTGCCTCACCACAAAAATCACCTTGAATTTACTTTGTGTATATTTTATATAAGCTTATGTGCATACATATTGTTTCCCCTTATAATAATGTAAGCTCCTTAAGGAAAGAAACACTTTTGTACACACACACACACACACACACACACACACACACACACACACACATTTACACCTGGAACATAGTAGGTTGATTGTCTAAGTAATTGATGGTTAGAATGAAAGTTCATAAAGGAACCTTACTTCTTATAACCTCCCTCAAAAATAACAGTGTAAATTGTTAGGAATTCTTATACTAAATTTAAAATTCTTGGAAAGAATTGGAAATGATGAAATGAATCCAAGAATTTCCAATTTTTTTTTTTTTGGCTAGGCAATGGGGTTAAGTGACTTGCTTAGGATCACACAGCTAGTAAGTGTTATGTGTCTGAGGCCAGACTTGAACTCAGGTCCTCCTGAATCCAGAGCCAGTGCTGTAACCACTGTGCCACCTAGCTGCCCCAAGAATTTCCATTCTTAAAAAAAAAAATAGAATGAATCTAAGAATTTCCATTCCTGGAAATAATTAAATTCAGCAGATTGGAAAATAGTAGAAAAAAATGTAAAAATATCAGAAGAAGCAATTCAAAATGAACTGAATATAATACAAGGCGAAATGGCAAATGGCATTGTTGAAATGAGAAAGGAAGCTCAGGAAATAACTCAAATAAAACAAGATTGAAAAACAATGCAAATGAATATCACAGATATGAAAGACAGAAGAAAAAGAATTTAAAATTATTGAGTCTGAGGTATTTAGCTGCTGCTGTGGTGGTTGTTAAATCTATGAGCCCTGTCACAAAAAGCCTGGACCATGGAAGTAGAAAGCAGAGCAATGGGAACAGCAAAGGACATTGGCTTGTCAGCTGTTTCCACAACCTAATTAAATTCCTAGAGCCCCCGTATTATGTGTGAATGTAACCATAAGGTATGTGACTACCCCTTTAGCAAAATAACTCCTTTTTAAAATTTAAAAAGAAACATAAGTTAGCATAGTCAGTCACCTCTACTGGTTACATCCTCTAGGCATAAGTTACATCTAGATAAGCTTAAGGGGTCTCAAGGCACTATTTGAACTCACTTGATGTGTGTACTCCAAATAAAGCTCCAGCCCCTCCTCCCCTTACACATAACTACATCTTTCTAAAAATTGCATAAAAACCCATGGTTTTGTCCACTGGTCAGCCAGTCTTAGCCAGGCTGACTCGTTAGTGGGATG